CTGTGATTCTATGAGATTGTCTCACAGACCAAGCAGAAAAGGGAAAGACAGAGATGAACCCAAAACAGGGTGAAAAAGGCCAACAGCAGGAGTGGATTCCATTTGTTTTCCTTTACACAACCCCTGCCAGGTCATAAACTCTGCTGCATTTCCCTCCTTTTCTTCCTCCTGTTTCTACCTGCACGAAGAGGTCACTAGAAGTCACTACTAGGAGGCAGCCTGGCTTAGTGGCTCAAGCCACTGCATAAGGAATTCTGGACTCTATCCCCAGCAGAGTCATGAGCCTGCTGCAAGACATGGGCATCTCTTTTCAATTCCCTGTATCCTCATTTCCCTCCCCTCTCCCCAGACACGCACATCTGGTTCTTTATTCTGCCCAAGAAGCTCATCTAGGCATAGGCTGTTCTGAGCGAGGTTGCGCGCGGGGCAGGTCAGTACGATTGCGGGCTTGGATGTGGGCTTTAGGTATGCTTGCCATATAGGTGGTGGTGATCTCAAACCCTCCTGTGCAAAGGTAAGGTTTTGGAGGAAGGAGTTTCGCTCCATGCATGTAGGACTGGGGAACGTAGGAGGTCCTGGCAGTCTTTGAGAAATGAGGAAAGCTGAAGCAATGACTACACCACAGATGAGGCCTTGAAGAGCAATTCTCTCTTACCCTTGGAAAGAGCATCTTTCCATTTCCCTCTGGTTTTGTGCTTTTTCCTTCCAGCTTATGTTTTTAAAATACAGATGATGCCTTTTGGGTTTTTGTTTTAATTAAATCCTCTGGCCTCCTCCCTTCTTTCTGCCTCTAGGTCATACTCATCTTGCCTTATGCTTATACCTTTCCTGACATTCACTTCTCCGTGCTTGCAGTCTGCTTTCTCCGATTCCTCCATCCAACCCTCTTAGATGCCTCCCCACCCCCACCATCTCCTCACACTGTGCATGTGCATTAACGGGAGAGAAAGCAAAAATAAGAGTGCACCCATTACAGTTCTTTCCACAATGCCCAGGAGGATCTGCGCTTGAGGCATGTTTTAAAGATCATTGTAAATCAGGAAACAGCAAGGTGGAGTGAAGGGAAATTGGAAAGAGCTCTCAGCTTACGAATGTATAATGCAAGAACACAGGCCCTCGCTCCAGTTCAATCTTGCCAACAGTTACTAGACCAAGCTCCCTGAACAAAAAAGTCATTATTATGACTAACCATTCTGTATTTATAGAGAAGTAGCGTTAGAAGACAAGCAGTTCAAGCAGTGCTCTTGCACTAGATGTTCTTTGCTTTTTCCTGTATGCAGTCTTTTATTCCAGCGTTAATTGTGGTTATAAATCATTCCCAACCTGCTCTGGAATGAGTTTACACAGGCCTCGTGCTGTTGAAAACACAGTACATTTATACATACGAGATATAAAGCATTCAGCAACTCCAGGGGGAAAACTACCGGGTGTCAGGATTCAAAACCACAGAAGATTTAAAAAGTAATTATCATTAAAATATTTCTCTGCCGCCCGTTGTCATGAATGGCTACAGCCACTTCCGCACCACGCAGAGGACACTGGAGTGGGCAGAGTGGTCCCTGACAGGTGTCTTTCAGCAGCACTTGTGCCAGGAAAGGTTTTGTTTCACCAAGGAAGAGATCTGGACATAAAAGTCATGTTAAAACTCGAGTGATGAACAGGATGGGGAAGCAAAGTGGACACTTAACCCTCATCTGTGGCCATCCAGGCCAGAAAGGATGAGGCCAAAAAAAGCTTCAAACAGAGAATGGCTTTTATTTCTTTTTTTTTGCTGTGTTGGAATACATCAGCCCCACGAGGGGGAATGTTGTTTGAACCACCCGGGGTGCACATTCCTCTGAGAGCCAGGGAACGTGGAGCCTTGGCAGGCCGGCCAGATGCCAGGCCAGGACAGTGCGACCCTCTTGCAGCCTTCCCACATTTCTGTCAGCTCTAGCAAAGTGGGGGATAAAAAAATAAATGAAAAAGAGCTTGTTAAATCTCATACAGCTTTCAGAACCAATTTTTATCCTGTTTCACTTTGGAAGTCTCTTGAACAAGCTCAGCGCTTCAAAGCTGAGGCTGCAAATCTCCCAGGGAAGGTTCCTGTGTTTAATAAGCTGTTTTGACTGGAATTCAAAGAGAAAGGAAAGATTTCTGTTGGCCTAGCAATAGAAAATGTGGCCCAGACCTGTAACCCCATATCTGACCAGACAAAAATGTGTCCTCTGTTAAAAATGGGAGTTTTCTCAGAAGCATTGGCATGACAATAGCTCTGGTTCCCCTGAAGTCAATCGTGAAAAGTCTCATCATCTCTAATGGAAATGCCTGGGAGTAATTTTGTTTGGAAAGAAGGTGCTGGAAGGTGGTGCCAGAACACCGACACAACAAACCTGTAAATTATAGTCGCTCAGCTACTGGGCAAAATAGCTTCCAGTTTACTCTTTGCAACCATTCCACCACAGAATTAACCCTTGAAGTGCTCTGTATCCTAGGAGCATGCTGAATGCTGACAATCAGGAAACCATCAGGGACACTGAAATACCATTAACATAAGCAATGCTTGTAATTAGCTAATAATAGGATGGAGCCACAATTCCTGCGATTCAGACGTTCTTCAACAACTTGGGTAAAACTTTGGTCATGGCTGAGGACCCTGCAAGCTTCCCTGGTGTCTTGTCTCCAAGGCCTTCAAGCAGGAAACTGCACGTCACCCTGTTAACGGCACCAGCAGTCCTGGGAACAGGGCATCAGGCCTTTTGACCACCGCTGCAGTGAAACATGGACCCATACCCCTTCCCTTGGTGTCCACACTTCCCATCCTAGGGCACACAGGCGCAAAACCACATACTGCATCAAGACAGTGAACGTCTCCAGAGGTTCTCACTAAATGAAAACTGAAATCTAACCCCAGCAGAGATCCCTTTGCTCTGACAGCTCTTGTTTCCTTTAAGTTCTGTTTTTCTTCCTTTCACACAAGTATGATCCATCATCTGCCTAAATTCAAACCTGATGTAGACTTTCAAAAACTACACCCAGCTAACCGTGGTGCTCTGTCCTTTCCCATCCATTCTTGTTAATGCCTCTGTTTACCGCTTTCCCTCAAAATTAAATTCCCACATTTGAAAGTTAAAGCAACAGACGTTGCTGACTAAAGAAAGCATGAGGCCTCCCATTTCTGCCACCATGGATAGGAACATAGGTGCCCTTTGCAGGCTGGAAGGTGCGCCGTAAAAGTTTCCCAAATCTACCTGTTTTAATTAGTATGGTTTGCATGCAGCAGGCCAGACACAGTAAAATACAGGGGTTTCATTTCCCCTATGATTTCAGCACTTCTTTTCCACTAACTACCCCATTTCCTGATTCATCTGCATCAAAGTTACAAAAAGGAAAACACTCCTGGAAAGCTACAAATCAGTAGATAAAACCACCAAGGTCGATCAATTCGCTGAGAAGGACTAGTTGCAATTTTCAAAGGACTGGATAGTATAAATGCTTATTTTGACAGAAAACTCAACAGTTCCCAGGATTTCAAAACTCCTTATTAAAAAACTAGTTTTTAAAATTTTCCGGTAGGTATTACTACTAACACTGGTTAGAAAATGTTTTTCCCACCTTGGAACATAGTGAGGGCAATGACTCAAATACAGAAAAATGTGCCCCGAAGTAGCTGAATTTAAACCTAGATTCTCAGAGCTCCCGTGAAGCATCATGGTCTCCTCTCTAGGCAAACAAAGTACATAGAAACATAGAATGATTTGAGTTGGAAGGGACCTTAAAGACCATCTAGTTCCACCCCCCCTGCCATGGGCAGGGACCCCTTCCACTAGACCAGGTTGCTCAAAGCCTCGTCCAGCCTGGCCTTGAACACTGCCAGGGATGAGGCATCCACAGGTTCTCGGGGCAACCTGTCCCAGTTCCTCACCACCCTCTCCAGGAAGAACTTCTTCCTGATATCTAATCTAAACCTCCCCACTTTCAATTTGTACCCGTTATCCCTTGTCCTGTCACTACAGGCCCTTGTAAAAAGTCCCCCCCAGCTTCCTTGTAGCCCCTTCAGGTACTGGAAAGTGCTATAAGGTCTCCCCAGAGCTTTCTCTTCTCCAGGCTGAACAAGCCCAATTCTTGCAGCCTTTCATCATAGGAGAGGTGCTCCAGCCCTCTGAGCATCTTTGTGGCTCTCCTCTGGACTCGCTCCAACATCATCGGAAACACAGTCCTGCCCAAAATTTCAGACAATGGGGCAGAATCAGCCCAAAAGACAAGTCAGGTTTAGCTCTTGTGGTGTTCTGCAGCAGCATTCAAAAAAGAAATGTTCTGAATTAAATGCAGTTTCTTAGTCTAAAGACAGGAAAATCCTCTGTTGGAAGCTCCTATCTTCTGTAGTTTGGGCTTTTATTTCTTGTCAAAGACCCGTCCTATTTTAAAAAAAGAGATTTTGGTATATCAGTTTCCTCAGTCCCCATCTAACACTTCAAACGAGGACCACCTTCTCTCTGAAGGACAGAATCATAAGCATTCAAGGCACGCCTGTGATGTGCCGACAAACCACCTGCCATCAGATGGTGGTTTATTTCATGAAAGCGTTACTTTCCTCATAAAAGTGGGTTTCCTGATTAAATAACAGGACTAAGCCACATCTTAGCTCTCATTGGACAATGACAATAGAAAATGTACAGGTCACATCCTTTAAAAAAATGTAGCTGAACCTCAGAATACTGGGCTTGAGTGATTCAATAACTAAAGGACAATCGCAGGACAATTGTTTCTGCAACGTCAGACAAGCTTTAATATAAATAAAGATATAAAGATTTGTACTGCTTACCAGCACACTGGTTGTTTTCATCCAGCTGGTAGCCAAATCGACAGATGAGAGGTCTTGTAACAGTAGGGTAGTTGGGAACGGGCCCTGGTGCTGGGGGCGGTGGATAAATATTTGAATAAGGGTTCAGGTACGGTGATCGATAGACTGGGTTTGTTCGGGGTACGCATAAATAGCCACCATTCTGGTTGACACACACCATATCTCCTCTGCACGCCTCAGGGATAGTCCGGCATTCATCAATATCTGGAAGGAAATTGCAGAAGTGAGTGATTGCTTATTAACATGACCTATCAAAAAATAAATAGTTAACGTATTTTTCTCAAAACTTTGCTAAAAAATTCGATAGTCTCTTTGAACAGAAAAGCTACTCCTTCCTTTTGGAGCCTCACTTTGAAGTTAGATCATACTAAAACAGGAAACATCCCATATATTCAACATATCCTGTGTTCTACTTGTTTCACTTCACTCTGAGAGAACAGAGGGAGAGGAGAAAGCCTGCTTTGTTATTCCATAAATGTTCGGCTTAAACACTGATTTACACATGGCTGCAGCACACTACCGCCTGTTCCTGCTAGAGGGTCTGTCCAAACCACAACATGCAGATCAGGATTTCAAACACTGGTGGTTTGGTTTGCCCAGCTGTGAAACTTGGATCCCGGTTTGAAACTCCCCGGCTCCCTCCCACAGAAAAAGTTAGGGATGTCGAGATCTGGGGACGCAGTTCAGGCCTCTTTCTCGCTCCGATGGAGACGGCCGCTGAATTAAATTTAGAAAGATACAAACGGCTTAGCCAAACTGAGCGTTCACCTGGTTCTCGGGGCTCAGAAGCAGTAGGCTGCTACGGCAGCGCGGTAAGTAAGTTGCTGTTCTCTTCCTCATTGTTGGAGCGGCTTTAAGACACGCAGAAGATGCTGTCCTGGAGTCGGAATGCCATTGACAAAATGATGCTATAGGGCAATCTTCGTGTTTCCCTATATTGCCTCAACAATTGAGCTGGCGTGTCAGTGCTGAGCAGTGGCTGACTTTGAGCCTCCAGGTGGAGGCTGCCAGCAGGGGCAGTAAATACCGAGGAGACAGGAGGAGGGTGAGCAGCCCTTGTCATCTGGCAACTCGACTGAGCTCCCATCAAAACGCATCGTTGCCATTTGAGAGGCGCTGACAGCCAATCAGTATCTCAACAGTGTCAAAGATCAGTATATACTTGTGCTATGTAAACACACATATTTATATATATACATATATTTTTGTATATACACATGCACAAACACATGTATTTGTCACACAGCAAGAACTTTTCAACTAAAACATACTCATAGCAGCACAATGTTAACTCAATAAAGGCAGGATTTCCGACCCCCAATTTAAATGTATTGATTGAATGAGAGTCCTACCTAAGCACTGCCCAGAGGCACGGTCCAGGTCAAACCCATTAGTGCATTGTTGCTAAAATGAGAAAACAAAGGACACTCAGTGACTGTGAAATGAGAGGGTTGCAGAGTCAAATGCTCACCTGGATTATTACGCTTAGTACAACTGTTCAGCGCTATACAGTACGCCAAATAAAGCCCCTTCCTCAAAGGGCAGCCAGCAAGGCTTGAACCCGAGCCTGCAGCACACGCACCAGCCCCTTTAACTGAACAGAGGGGTTCAGTTAAACCAGCTAACCTCTCCAGCTGGGTCGAAAGCTCCACAGATGGTAGACCATGGGGTGCATACATCTCCACACGTATCTGACTGAACTGAGGCCACAGTAAAAGATAACAAGCTTAACAAAAGTAAAGCTTTCTGTTTACAGCCAACCCTTTGAATTTTAGGGGGTAAATCTTTAAATGACACAAGTTCTGGGGATGCAAGGTTACTGGAAGCTTTGTTCCTTCCTGTCCTGTGGTGCTGGTCTTTATCTGGTCTGCAACCGTGAGTCTTGAGCGCCTCATCAGTGATGCTGAGCATTTCTAAACCAGTGAGAGTCCTGGTGATGGTTGTGTCAAAGCCCATTAAAAGGATTCCCTGCTCTCTCTAGGTTTTGACTGGGCCTCCAGCTATTTAGCAGCGGCCAAGCAGTTGACACAAGCCCAGGAATGGGTTATAGTAAGGCATGCAAGCAAGAGATGCCCAGAAAACAGGAACCACTGAAATAACCAAAGGGCAGAGTGATGGAGCAAGTTCAAGATTCTTCCTTTTTTTGTTATCGTTAAATGATAAAGACACTTATTTCGGGACTTTGTGGAAGAAATCAGTGGAAGAGTAAAGTACATGGTTCACGTTCAAAAGAGTAGTATGTGGTAGCTGAGAGACCGGGGGTAGAGGGGTAAGTCGATGGAAGTGGGCCATTGCAGGAACAGCACGGCACGGTTGGGACTGCACCTCCAACTTGCACGTACGAATGCACAAAACCACTGCTACAAGTATCGAGCAGGTATGAAGGAATTCTGCCTTCATTTATTTTGGCATTCTGAGAAATTCTGGTACCATGTTGTGGAAAGCCAAGATATTCTGATGGGAGAATATATAATCAGCCTCATGTTTCAAAGAATGTATGTACTCTACCTTTTGTTCTCCTTTCTGCGCTGTGGCTTATACACCACACCTAGGATAGCAGGTTAGATAGTTTTTAACAAAATTATTTTCTTTTGGACACTAAATGATGATTCAGAAGCACTGAAACTACCATAGAACTGGTTTCAACAACTTTCTAGATCTTTATTCCAGAAAAGATCCCAATGTTGTCAAAATGACCAGTTTCAATATCTTCAGAATGAATTTGTTGCTGTTATTTTGGTTTCACGTTGCTTTTTGCTTAGACTTCAAAATCAATTTACAGAACAAGATGTTTATATAAAAATCACATTGGAGACAATATTTTTAAATTACAAAAACAAACCCTTATTGACATCTCAAAAATTCTCCAGGGGCATGAAAAGTATTTCCCATACAGATCCAATGTTCACAAAAATATCAATAAGCATGTCATGTGCAGGAAATTTTCAATGTAATAAAGAAACACAACTACATTTCAGAGACTTTTGGCGAAGGTATGAAGAAACCCAGCTCTGGACACTGAATATATCTGGATTATCAACTAGGAATACAAACTTAACATGCCTTTGGGAACTGTTTTTCCTAATTTAAAGTCCACATGGAGCCCAAGAACACAAAGAACTAATGCTTCTGCTATTTCAAGAGCTGGACTGTTTGACTTCCATCCACCCTCAAAAGCCTCTTGAACAAAAATGGTTTCAGGCATCAATTAAAATGAAAACTAGGATTCAGTCATTCAGGATCTCAGTCCAAAATTAGTCTTAAGACAAGATCCTGCTATACACAGAAAATGCTTGTTTATATGAATAACTTTTCCAAGCATGGATGTTCCCCACCGCAGAACTGAGCTGTCCCTGCTCTCGTGGGATGGCTTTTCTTATTTCCTTTCCCAGAAGTCTTCAGCTCGGAGGCAGAATCAGGTTTTCAGTGAGGTCCAGGTTTCTACAGGGCTATTTTGCTGGGCTGGCAAGGATGAGTCAATAAGCTCAGTCCATGTTCAACTCCAGAATCCTGCTGGCTCCAAGTTCTCCCCTTTAAACCCTCAGACCACACAGCTTCCTTTTCATGAAAACCCCAGAGCACAGAGCTTCCTATTCACCTGCTAGCCAGTTAAGCCTCATGCCATACAGCACTTGAGTACAAACCGGTACATAGATCTCTGCGCGCACCTCTCACCTGTGCTTTTCCAGGGCTTGAAAGGCAGACGACCAGTGTGACAGCAGTCAGTATCCTGTAACGTGCATAGAAAATAGGCTGAAAACCTTCTGATAGCCAGGCTCATGAGACAGAATTAAATACACATGGACAAATTAATTTCTAGTGACACTTCAGTGTATCCCACAGATTTTTGCTAACGTGAGTGTGGCCTCTGGAGAAGGAGCGAGACAACTGTGGGCCAGATTCAGACCTCAGGGTCAGTAATTTTACTATGGTTTCTGCGACTGGGATCAGACTCGGGCTGTACCTGTCTATTAACTAATCTATTTTTCACGACACCCCATGCAGCAGCTGTTTAACAAATGAGCACACGATACCCAATAAAGCATTTTTGCCCCTTTCTGACACCTTCCTGTTGAGAACACAAACGTTTTTCTTGCGCATTACGCACGTTTTACAGACGGGTAGACGGGAGCGCAGGCCCTGCCTACGCTCACAGTGCAACGCCTTGGCAGGGCTGCAGACATGTCATGCAGGAGGTCCTGAATCCAAGCCAGTTGGTCTAACCGCTAAACCGCTTTTCATCCCCAGGAGACTCTATCTGAGATTAATCCATTTTCTTAGGGCCAGATTCTGTCCCTTTACTCAGCCTTGGGTAATACGCCGCTCTGCACGCACACATACTGTGCCAGGCCATCAGCTACCAGGAAGGGCTATCTGCAGTGCAGCCCTCCCCAGTTCTATCACCTTAGCATCCAGTGGGAGCCAGCGGGTCTCTCCACTGCAGCTGAAAGAAGAGGGTCCCTTGATGGCAGAGCTCTATGGCTATTTTTGGATCTCCTTATGTGAAGCATAAAAAACCAGGAAAGGACAGTAAGGAATTATTTTTTCTGTGTGCTGTGGATTTCAGTGTTTTGCCACTGCCTTATATAAAACTTCTCAATACAATTAGACCCACATCTTGCTTATCTTGGATTCTAGTTCTGAATGGCAACTGTATACAGTACGTTCCCAACAAAACCAGTACAGGAAGCAAGGGATATTTTAGGTAGCCTTAGTTCTGCTACCCAAGCAAGCTGCCAACTTTCTCTCTTAGAGCCGTCTGATTTCCAGTGCAAACTGAGCCGCTGAACAACACTTGCAAATGCATCAGACAAAACCACACACAAACAGTGACTGACACATTTGAACAAATTTGTTTTAAGTGAGGAGACAGCCACAAGCACTGAAAAGTAACCCTAAACCCTAAAATGGTTGTCCATAGTGCTGTGGAGACAGTGCTTGTTGGCAGCTTTGTAGCGACAAGGAAAGGAAAACTCAGCACAGACTTTTCCTTAGAATCAGATGCAAAGCATTCAAAGTACCATCTTACTCATTTAGGCTTGCTCTTCATTTACTGATTCCTCAAAAGTTTTTGAAGAGCTGTGAAGGCATGCGCTGGTATAAAGGCTGCATGCCCACTCTGCACACAAGGAGAACAGCACTAGCAGGAAGCAGAGCAGGTTCCAGCTGAACGTTAACATGCCCAGCAACCGGGCTACGCGCCGCGCCACGGCGGAGCAGCGCACGCTAACAAATCGCCTCTAAAACCGGTCAGGCAGAACTCGTGCGTTTGTAGACGCTCTTTAGGTTCCGCTGTTACAAGATGATCTGTTCTTTCCTCTTGGTGCATGGGGGGGTGACCTTGCTGCCCCGTACGTGTTCTGCCTGCAGCCACCATCCCAATTCGCCCGTTACTTTACATCTCAAATCCACTCATAAACTACGAACAGACATGCAGCACAGCCTATCAGCACGATGTTCAGCTGCTCACAGTAGCTTGCCCAGCAGGCAAAATATTTTAAACTGGCAATTAACTTCTGCAATAGTAACTAATTAGCTTCCAATCAATCACTGTAGCCAGTGGGATTGTCTGCTGCTGCAATTCAGCACTCCCGCGGATGCCGGGGTTCCTAAAGCGCAGCGTATAAGCACAGATGGAGAAGGAACTTGTCAGAGACGGCACAGCTTTAACAGCAGACAGATCGTCTTTCCCCACCTCCGACCACGGAGATCCCGTCCCTTTGCAAGTGGCTTTAGCAAGTGGATTGGCATACGGGGTCCCTGCCGCAGATACATTCCACAAATAGGTTTCCCTTCAGTGGGTAAAGAAGTTTCATGCATGCCACTTACCTTTTTAATCCTTGCATGTCCAAAACGGTTGGGGAAGGGTGGAAAAAAAACCAGAGTCTGCGCTGATGAATAACTAGAAAGTTTTTCCAAACATTACCCTCTGCTAGCACTTCAGTTCCTCAGTCATTTATAGTCCAAAGAATGAAATAGCAAGTAACGGAGAAGATCGGGAGCCGTCTGTACCTCCTCAGACACTGGAGGGAATACAGAGAAAGCACCTGGTTTTGCTTAGTTCTCTTCTGTAATTCAGCATTAAACCAATTGGAGGAGGAATGTTAAAAATGAACACTTCATTTTCTAAGTATGTTAAACAATGCAAATGGGGGCCTCAGCCTGGGACAGCTGGTTTAGATTACAAAGCTCACCAACTGGCTAGACTCCTCACAACAACCTCGCGGAGCCTGCCAGGATAAAACACTAACAGCTTGAAGGAAAGCCTCTCCCGCTGCAAACTTCACAGTTAAATGTGCCTCAGAGCAGAGAGCACCGTTATTGGACAGAAACCCTTATCAAGGGACTGGAGAAGGGAAGGGATTGTTTTCCTTGCTCTGAGGACAAAAAAAAAAAAAAAAAAAAAGAAAAAGCCAGGCTTTTTGGAGGCCCTGTAGCCGGTGTCTGGGACGATGAATATGCAATACGCGCTGCTGCGTGCCAACAGCAGGCTGATGAAAGGTCTGACCCTCTGGGAGGTGAATAACTTGAATTCATGACGATCACAGCTACAGGAATGATACTGCTTGGGGATTATTTGAAAACAGGAATAAACAAATTAAACGTTCAAAGGAAAGCAAGCGGCTTGTCTACGAACAATGGCCCTTTTTAAACCGACTCCACGCTTAAGGGAGCGGTTTGTGAAATGAAATATCGATCAGGAAAGACATATCTACAGTCATGATCGAAGAGGAAGGAAATGAATTACTTTTTCAGGTGTTTTGCAACTTTGCCACAGGCAAAGCTTCAGCAGGTGAAGCAGAACATTTGATATGTGTGAGGTGAGCAACCAGATGCTGCAAAGATTATGTTGGATCCACAGATGAACACTGAAATGAAATACAGACATAGACGCTAAATGACTACTATGAACTTCTGTTGGGTCTTCCATCTGAGGAAATCCTTAACTCCTAAGGAACACACAATGTCCAACAAGATAAAAATCTATCCCACACGTCTCCAACAGAGAGCAATGGAGCTGTTGTAACAGATATTCATAAAACTGGCCTGTGAGCATGGATGCCCGGCTTGAGACAAAAAGACTGAGCACCCCCAAGTCACATCAGTGCTAAAGGGAAGTGCAAGAGCTCTGTAGAATCATAGAATCACAGAATGGTTTGGGTTGGAAGGGACCTTACAGACCATCTAGTTCCAACCCCCCTGCCATGGGCAGGGACACCTTCCACTAGACCAGGTTGCTCAAAGCCTCATCCAGCCTGGCCTTGAACTCTTCCAGGGATGGGGCATCCACAGCTTCTCTGGGCAACCTGTTCCAGTGCCTCACCACCCTCTCCGGGAAGAACTTTTTCCTGATATCTAATCTAAACCTCCCCACTTTCAATTTAAACCCATTACCCCTTGTGCTGTCACTACAGGCTCTTGTAAAAAGTCCCCCCCAGCTTCCTTGTAGCCCCTTCAGGTACTGGAAAGCTGCAATGAGGTCTCCCCGGAGCCTTCTCTTCTCCAGGCTGAACAAGCCCAATTCTCGCAGCCTTTCAAGCGTACCTTGCTAACTGGCTGTAATTGCCCCAATTCCTTCTAAAAAATTACCCCACCAGACACTCAGTGCCGTTTCCGACAGGTCGTCTCTCACTTGCTGACATCACTTGCATCGCATGTAAAATCAAACAGAATCCCAGAAGTATTCAGTGTCAGTGCAACTGCAGATAAATGAGAACTAATAGACTTCCCAAGAGCTTAACAAAAACTCACACAAGGGACAGGCAAAAGAGAGAAAGCAAAGCCTGGGCAAACTTTCACTGCAGCAGAAGGTTAGAAGTATTTCCCTAACTCCCCAAGTCCTGTGTTTCTCGATACACTCAAGGATCTGGAGAGCTAACGAGTCTAAAAGCAGCAGTGCTTTCTGTATGCTGGGTGTGTGAAAATCCACTGAAACGATGAGAAACAGCCCCACAGCAAAGCAGATGCTCCGCGCATCCACTTCTGCGGATGGAAAGCTTGCTTCATGGACTTGTTGATAACTCACTTGCTCATCCGCTGAGTTTCTCTCACCGTCACGTGGCAAAACAGCTGTACGCATGCCAGAGTCACCACACGAGCGCGGCGGCCGTCGGCTCCCGCAGAACGGCCTCAGACCGAAGAGTTCCGATTCATCACCACCCGGCAGAGGTGCTCCAGCGCTGGAGTCGGGAGGCGAACCCAGACCTGACCACCCAAGGGGCTCGCTTAAAGGAGGGATACTCTACAAATGTTTTGATTTTTCTTGTCTCCATCTGACAGCTGGAGTGGATAAAAACCGGAGTATAAAAAGGGTAACAAACCACAGCTCGGTCTAGTTTACAGCATGGTGATTTTTTTCCCCTAAATCAAAGGATTTGATGTTATGGCTAGGTGGAACTTCTGCAGCGCCTCCCCGTAACAACCATCGGCCACAGAACACTGAGATGCAGCATCACCCTTCTCACAGCTCTCTTTGCTATGTAGAGTTGCCTAAGGGAAGAGACTTGTGGTAGATAAAACCCCTTTTGTTCACCCTATAAGAAACACGGACAATTCAACATCTCTTTCAACACCATCTGCTGACACCTTCGCCATTTTGCTTCGGGTGGTGGCTAAACTTCAGGTCTAGCTGCAGTCTCACTCCAATCGTCTCCACGTTATAAAATCCCCTTTTTTAGTTAGATTACCTTGACGTTTTCCCTGTCTTCGTGAGGAGGTGCAAAACAGTCCCCAGTATCAAGTGGGGGTCTGTTAAGTGAGCAAGCATGTTTGTAAAACTTTGCTTTGTGCATAGCTGGGGTTGTAACTGCAGCTCTAACTATGTTTAAGACTTGGATTTCAAAACCTGTACAAAATATAATCATAAGGGGCCCATAAGCCGTATCGTGTAACCTTTAGATAAGCCGACCAGACGTATGAATTACACCATGCTCCTGCAGATAACGCACAGCACCGGGTCAACAGGGACCCTCAGCACTAGAGAACGTAATGCAACGGCCAAGACAAAAGCTGCGCTGAGGTCAGGGAGCTCAATGAGAGTTAACGACTCTCAGCACCCCTGAACAAGAAGTCTGCTTCACACCAACAAGTCTTCACCTACCAACTTTTACAACGCTTCATCTCCTTCTTTAATTCCGATGTCACACTTGCACTACTCCAGACCTGTCTCTGTCAAAGACCCTTCTCAAGTGTTCTTGTCATTTTTTGAAGTTCAGCCTCTCTGAAAACTGTCAAGGACCTTGTCAAACTGTGGAGTCAAATCACACTGATCCATATGGTGAAAGGTGTGCGAGGCCCAAGTCCCTAAAAGTGACAAGTCACAGACATCTTCTCCATAGCAATACAGACCTGGATTCACCAAGGACTTTGCCAATAACTGACACTTTAAGGGCCTACGCCTGAGCTAGAAATGCTTAAAACATCTATTTTGCTCCAATCAAACCTTACGGAACCACATTTTCTACAAGCAAAACTGTTAAAACACTTGGAGCACAACTGCTGGGCACCCGCAGAAGCAATTGCATTTTGATTGTGCCTAAGCTCCATGACGTTGATGGACGGGGCCTCCTCCGGACTGCGGAGATTGATCTAAGTGTCCTTGGGATGGCCACATAAGCCGTGCTGCCACATCAAGCGCACGGGAAACTTGGTTTCAAACGCTGATTCCACCTGAAAAGAGTAGGGCTTCTTTCTTCCACCTCCCAGGACCAAATCCCAGCTGCAAACTCTCGGTGTTTGGAGCGGGCTCCCACTCCTTTTTCAGAGACGGACTGCCTTACGCTGCTGTCAGCTGAGGTCTGCTTCATCCCACGTCTGAACTGCGATCGCCTCCTCATAACGTGAGCAATGCAATAACCTGTTCCAGATGGCTCCGGCCAGAAGCTCAAAAGCTTTTTACTTTCACACATTTTACTTTCTCAGCCAAACATAACACAAGCAAGAATTAACAGTGAAAATTAACATGATGTGTAACTTGAAAAACATCACTAGCGCTAACAAAAACGTCCTGTGAACGCAGTCTCTCTGATGTCTTGCCACGTTATGCTCATCTGCAGCTCACGCTACCCTTGCTAGGAAGGAGAAAGTTTAACAGTCCCTCCTGTGCTGCTGAATCTTGGGGCTCAGTTCCCTCAACGTGGTACAGTCACCACCCGTAGAGATATCCATGGGAAAAAGCGCCACGACAGCCTCCCTTCCTTCCCTCCTGTACAGGGATGTCACCTACCTGTCTGATGCATATGTTCCCTTGGGATGATGGCATCGCTGATGAGATCACTGCTTCTCACAACAGTAAGTGGAGTGCCCCCTCCTTAAATCTGGTAGCAGATGGCCTCAGTATAACCTACCAGACAGGCCACATAACGTAAAATTTTTGTTTTACCTAACTCAAGCTTTTACGGGTGTAACTACCTCTACAGGTCTGTGGTCACTCCGACAACAGTTTCCAACAGCATGTTTTCTTTTAGGAAAAGAGTAATCAGTGGAAAAATCCAGGGGCCACTGGATCCATTCCGAAACGTAACAACACTAAACAGTTACCTGACTCCACTTCACCGCTTTGAAAACATATTAATCATCCCATTAATTGAGGAATAGTAGGATCTAGCAGGTACATACTGCAGCCCAAAGAGCTGAAACGTACGCCCAGTGAACTGCATCTGCTGCGAGACGAAACTGTTCCCCGTATAGTCCTTTCGTGAGCTCAAGTTTGATGCTCATGATCGCCTGGTCAGCTGCAGTGTTTTCTAGGAAGGTCGCTTGAGGCAAAAAAAGAGTAATAGTCTTGGAAGAATGCTTCAGTAGGGTTCAGGGCTTTTTTTCCCCCAGCAGAAGTAAGGCAAGCAAGCAAAAGTTTTTGTAACTTTCCCAGGAAAAATACTGATTTTCCACAGCATTTTGGGTGCATGCAACAACTCTCAGCAGGTCCCTTTGTATTACTATTCATTTGCAACAATATACAATATTCATCTTTATTTTTCAGTCCTTAAATGACTGGTGTTTATGCTTTAAAAACTACATTCCTGTAAAAACCATTCAGGACGCCATCCCGCCGCTGAAGACACAAGGTCTCCTGGAGAATGCACACACCCCCTCCGGGTGGTTGCGAGGATCCGAGATCCCGATGCCCAGCCACTGCGAACGCTTCTACCTCCTTTCTGTTGAATCTCATCCTTGCGCGTAGCGCCAGTCACGGCAATTCACGTTTTGCCCGAGCCCAGACAGCTACTTCAGTTTGTTTTGGTTTACTTCAGAAGGCTGACCTGGACATAAGCTAGG